TCTACCGACGATATTTATTTGCACACATTAATGATATGAATATTATTTTTTTTATCAGCTGACTATTATAGGCTATTGCGAATTTATTGTATTTTCTATATTATGTAATTCGCTTTGCGTAGAACTATTTCATGCTATATTCATAAATGGAAATGAGTATACAATATACTGAAGTGACTACAATGAAACTATTATACGCATCATCTTCAAATTACTGCATTTTTTAGTGAAATGAATAACGTACTACCACGACATATACTCAATTAATAAAAAAATAACAATTATTTAAATAATAGATCGCTCTATCTTGAAATGTCAAGATTTCATGTTAAATTGAAGCACTAAAAAAAATGCAAAATATCCAATGTGGTTTCATCTGCATCATATCAAACATTGAATATTTAACTCATAAATATACTTTGAATACAAAATATTTATGAATTATATTACTAATAATAAGCGCGGCGTACAAGAAGACCCTAACCTAACTAAGAAAAATAACAGATCAAATACTACTCGTGAATACACAATCGTACGATTGCATACCCGCGTTCACTGTACTCGCCAAAAGCACGTGTACAACCTGTCGCCCGTGCCGCTTCGGACTAATCGTCCTACGACATGATTGGGGACTGGAGGAATAAAAGCATGCGACTCACCCGATGATAGAAGAGCTCCCTATAAGACTCGAAGAATCTCGAAAAATCGTGTAGCTTCGCTTAAGAACATCCTCTGTAGTGGTCGCTTATGCAGTATCTGGAAAAATCTGAAAAAAAGGAACAGAATTCGTTATAACCTCTTCTGAAAATTCTAGCTGTTTCAGTTGAACAGTGTAAATAATAAAATATAAAGATACTTACAATCTCTCTTTGTAGAGCTTCGCCCAAAAACATCCTCTTCCGTGATGCACTGACTCTACTTTTCCGAACGAGTACTTTCAAATAGAAAAAAAATTAAAATAAAAGACTATCGCGACCGAACATCCAAGCCGGCGAACAAATGACTTTATTTTCGCGACTAAAAAAGCAAAGAGTGCCCCAAAACTCTGAAAGTAATCGATTATACGCAAAAAACACTGACTCGACTTTCGCGAGGACCTAACGATATCTCCGGTGAGATTGTAATCTGAGACAGTTCGCTGCGCGCAAACATAAACAACTTGTACGATTGTAAACACTGACTCGACTCGACCGCTTTGCGCGCGGCCACCAAACTCTGAAAAAAAAGGAGGGGAAAGAAACACAATACGGCGCACGTTCACCGGCTTAACCTTTTTATTTTTATATCGACCAAGTGTTTACCTTGAAAAAATTGTCATTCAATGATAAATAAGCGTTAAAATGCAAATGTCAATTTAACTACGAAAAATATTTCAGAGTAATTCTCAAATTTGTTCATATATATTATTCATTACTCATATATATTTGTTATTAGTATATTTTATTGAAGACATTCGTTATTAGAATTTAAGAATGTTCGTACTTTTTGTCTAATTCACGAACCGAATTTTATAAATATTTAGAAAATTATTGCAAATATCAAAGTTTCGTAATTTAGTCAAGCTTCGATGAGCATGAAAAATTACGCAGCTTCTATATAATTACACTTATATCTGAAACCGTATATAAATGCAAGTACGATGACATCATAAAGATTAACCGCTAAAGTTATTAAAATTTAAATAATTTCGCGACCGAGATGCTGTACTATACGAATATTTATAACTGAAAATTCTGGAAGCATCTCGTTTAAAGTTTCTAACGGTTTCTAACAAGGAAGCCATGTTGAATGCTTCAATTACGCATTTGAATGTGCAATAGTTCTCCAAAGTATTCTGATTCGATTTTAACAGAGCTAATCATAAAGTCGCGATTATGTTTACGGTAAAAGCAACGAAAATACAATAAAAGAGAAATATGTGTAACCTATTTTGTTATAAAACGTTACCAAATGACACCAATTTCCCGCCGAATTGCGTCTAGTGGGAGTCCAGTCGTGTCATCGGTGGCGCGTTCCTTCTAGCCGGCATTCTGAAACAGAAAATACACGTTAATACGAAGTAGTTATACTAAATTCACAATGATTGAATAAAAAAGAAACAATTATTGACTCAAGGAATGTTGCCAAAGATTGCAAATTGATCAAAAACTGCGTAAATACTAAGTAGTATCGCGGGGACAACAGAAATCGTGAAGCCGGTTCACTTTATCCAGCAATACCGAGTTAATTTACGATTATTTACGCTGAATTGAGTAGATACTAAACGGAACTAACAGTAGAGTGCTAACGAAGATGCCAATAGCATAAATAATTTAAAGAAATAAGTAATAATACTTACTTCCCCACGAGCGAGATCACTTCACGTCTAATCACTTCACCTTCATCGAGAAGAATGACCGTTAGGCTGCCCATGACTGGCTATGATTGGTGGATCGGTGTGTGGAACGCGAGGATTGGTCCCCTCTCTCCGCGCGCCACTTCTTATCAATACGAAATAGAATATTTACCATCGAATTATATTTCAATATATGTTTCTAATATGCATCCGAGATTAATTCAGAAGGGAATGACTATCATAAAAGGGAAACAAAGAGACACACACTATCCCCGAAAATGTGATATTCCAATTCGTTTTAGATGAAAAATATTAACTTTGCTACCGTCTTCTCGAAGTTTTCAATCCTGCAATGATTCTCGAACGCCATCTATGATGACTAATCCTGTCAATTTGACAATGGCGCCAAAGTTTATGAAATACAATCTGACAGATATTACCAGTTAAATAATAGATAAAAACTATTCTTTACAATGGAGAAAGCTTAACGTTTTGAGCTCTAGTTAGGTCGAAGTTCATTATTTAATTACTCCCTCACCAATTGCCAGAAGGTAACTGATTGTGCCTATTAAGATTCTGATATCACGTTACCAGATAACAGAAAATATAAAAACGAATGAAAAAGGAACGTGGAAAAAGTAACATTACTAAAATGTTCATTAACCATGCGTTTAGAATAAGTTATCTTATAGATAAGTGAAAAAATATATACTTTCGTGCGTCATATTTCATCAGTATCATATTCATCCTTTAAACCGAAGCATCCGATATTTTTATTCCCACCAAATTATATTGGATACACGTGTTATGAATGGAATATATAATGCTCCATTATCAGTAACGTCGAGTATTAACACTGAAACGGTAAAAGGGCTTTGGAGCCCCGAAAGTATGAGACAGAAATTACATACCTCGTCGGTGATCGACACTAAAATAGTAATGGGGTCCTACAGCCTCGCAAAACTGGCCACGAGAAAATATCGAATGACAGGTGTATTCATATACCTCGTCTGTAGTAATACCGAAGCCAGTTTATATAAATCTCTTTTGGTTTATTTAATTTAAAAACGCCTCTATCCTTTACAAATATATAATTTAGTAACATACATTTTCTACTTCTGCGATTATAGATAATGTATATAGATATTTGTTACTTCTTATTCTTATGCCTTTATAAACTAATAGTTACATAAGCATACCCAACTTACAAATCCAAACGCTGGATTGGAATGTAACGCAGTGCTGTTATGAACGATTATAACAAATGATATTGCATTAATACAATATTTAAAAAATGGAGGTAGCACTTGAAAGAAATGTATCAACGTTTCATTGATGTTTTTTGTATGGACTCATAAAGTTTTTAATATTCTCAACAATCTTAATCATATTATGTTTTATCAGTATCTAATCCACCAATCTGCTCCATTATCCAATCAGTATATATACAAGATTTACATTTTTCAGTACTCAACTGCTAACATGATCTACTCTCTATACAATTACATTCTAATGGCCATTCAAATGTTCAATTTTATTCACTCCCATCTGCATTGGCCTAAATTTAAATGTTGGTAAATTTCAAATGTACTGAGGTACATGCATACAAACTTCATGTACCTCAAAGTTCTTAGAAATCAATTAGAAGTAGACATCTTTCCAAGATGCCTACTTTGCTTATGGGATTAGACGAACCAAAGTACATCTTTATCTCAGAATTTGTCAGTACCACGTTACTCCTTTCACGTGGAACCTATTACAGTCTATAGCTTAGTTGCTCCTTTAGCCAGTTCTTCAGATTTTGAATCTTCAGCCAAAAGAGTATTCAAGTCCAGCTCTTGAAAATTCACAGAATGTTGACTTGACCCTAAAATAATGAACACAATGTGTAAGTAAATGAAACATAAAGAGAGATGCATACAAAGAGTTAACCATACCTGCATGTGCCAGGAAAAGATCTTTTAAAAACCCAAGTTCTTTGGTGAGCATCTTAATTTTCTCTTCAAGTAACTCATTCTCTGTCTTCAACTGATTCACACGCTCTAAAGTTTGCTGGGTACGTAATTTACTTTTAACTCTAGAACGTTTTACAGCCTGTGAAAGTATCATACAATTACATAAATGATCTATAATATGTAACTTATTCAGTTTACAGGATTCAAGTTTAATTCATTTTTGCATGATCATTCACCTGATTATTTCTATCCCTTCTTCTTCTGTAATCCTCACCATCCTCGTCCTCAGACATTTGTCTCTTCTTTTTATTTGCAGAAGAACTATTTTCCTTATTTTTTGGCGCCATCTAAAAATAATATTTAAAGGTACGTTAATTATCTACTTATGCATTTAAAAGTTTTAACTTGAAGAACAGTACACAAAATATGTATATAACCAAGCAATATTTCTGGCAGACTAAATTCGTAACGGGCAAATTATCAATATTCTTAAATAAACTAATTATACTTGAGTTCGTTTGCTAATTATTTTGTATCATATTGTTTACGTAGCAACTTGTCTACCATACGTCAGAACTAAACATGCATACGCATAGTGCGTCGTCGTATAAATCAGAGTCTGTCAGGGTCAATGTTTTTGTATCACGTAATAAGATCGAAACGTTTAAGATACTGAAAACACCGTCGAGTGACGAAAGATGTATTTCATACACGTCAATTTAACTTACACTTTACGTTTCATACAGATCTCTTCATTCTCAGTTCAATATCACCACAAAATCTTTAAAATTGACACTTTTGCAGATAATAAACTACCAAACGTAACACAATAAAATATAATTCAGATATGTCGTGTGTAGTGATGAAACCCTATTTAAAGCGAGCTTGCAGGTGATCTGTGATGTGGCGACACCTCCTTGACCAATGTTGACCACCAGAGGGCTACGAACACGATAGGTTTTCCGCAGTTTTCCGTAAGATATTGATTAATTATAGTTACAATGTCTGTATGTATTAAAATAAAGGAATCCGTGTAATTATACAATTCGTTGTGCGTACTTCATCATCAAGGGAATCTCTCTTATCTGGGATACTGTGACAAATTACTTATATTCATTATTTATTAATAATCGTTCGCATGTTATTATTTCTTATTATTTGATGAAAAACTTTTCAATTTCTGTTTTATATTGTCTTCAAATAATTACAAACATCCTTAATTGTATATTATTTTTAATAAAGTCAACTCTTTAATTGTATCGAAATATATCATACATTTATGAATCTTGAAAATCATTATATACATACAATTGTCAAATATTTTTGAAACAGTGTATGTCTCAATAATGGTCTCAAGAACTTCTGTTTTGCATTGTTTTTTACTAGAAAGTCTTTTAGTATTCATTCACTCTCGGAACCACTTTCGCCACTGCCGCTGCCAGACCCACTACCGCTACCACTGCCTGATCTTGATCTTGAACGGGATCTTGACTTTGATCTAGATTTCGAACTCGATGGACTTCCAGATCGAGATTTAGCTGGACTTCTAGAACGAGATCTCGAAACTGATTTCGACCGGGATCTCGACTTAGAAGAATTTCTTGATTGCGGACTACCAGATCTCGATCTCGATTTGCTGTGTGATCTGGAGGGAGATCGTGATTCGGAGCGAGAATGGGAAGCAGATCTGGATTTTGATGGTGATCGAGATCGAGACTTTGATCTGGAAGCAGATTTCGAGCGGGATCGAGATTTTCTGCTAGATGCTCGGGAAGACGCTCTAGACGTTGCTCTAGATCCACCTTCATTTTCAGATCCTTCAGAAATAATAATAAAATCTTGTAATTTAATATTGCTATCAAATTATTAGAATTTATAATGATATATTACTGACCTTTTTCGTCTACTTTCTCAACTTCTTGCTGAGGTTCTTCTTCCTCCTCCTCCTCTTCTTCTTCTTCTTCATCTTCCTCTCCAGGTGGTTCCAATTGCTTCTCCCTGTACCTTTGCATTTTAAATTCATTGGCATTGAGTGGCCGATGCCTCACGATTAATCTCGTATTGTTTGGCTGTTGTCCAGCTTTCTGACGACGTTTACTAAGGCGTACACGGGTTTCAAGCTCATTGTAATATACCCCGTCCTGCCTTATAACGAGGAAGTAATTCTCTTCGTATCCTTTGGAAGCTTTACTCTTAACATTCCAATTATATTCCCTAGCCATTTTATATTCATATTCTTCGTCATCGGCGTAATCAATTCCAGCCGTGAAGTCTCGTCTACGTTTTTCTAATGTCTCATCCAGTGGTAAGAAGTATGCCACAAATTGTTCACCACTCTCATCCATTACACCTCTGAAATAATATTCCTGTTGTAATGTCTGTAGCTAATAACAAAGAACTTAAAATAAAATTAATTAATAACATACCTGATCATAGCTTGAGACATTTCCTCAATTTGAGCTGGCACAGAACGTCCTGTTGGAGCAGGATCTGAATCGAATATGACTTGAGCACAAGGATATTTCCATAGCTGAAAGTAACCAATGATAATGTGTTTGAATAGTAATATTTAACTATAATACTTAGTTTTTTATAGAAATACCTTAAAGTCAGGAAATACTGGCAGTATCTCAACAGGCACCACATTTGGTTTACTGTAGTGCCTTTCAATTTCTTTCTTGTTATCTTCAAATGTTTTTTCTATAGCTTTGATTTGACTCTCACGATCCATGTACAATGTTTCTTCCTAAAAATGAAAGCATATGAGGTCAACTTTGATTCATAATACAAAGTTGGAAGAAATGAAAAATATGAAAGTATAAACTTACTTTGAAGTTCTTTTTAATACTATAACCAACTTTAGCCTCAACTTTATCCACAGTTTGTGGCTGAAACCTGGTTTGCTCTGTGGAAATGTATTCTGTACGTCTAAGCCAAGAGACACTTCTGGCATGATGTCTAGATCTCTTAGAATCTTGTGGGGTAAGAACATCTTCTTCTAGAAGCTTTTCATCAGCAGGATCCAATTGAGCATTAACATCTCCAGCATAAGTGTCTTTATTTATTAAATCAATATCCACACCTAAGTCATGCTCTGTCAAAACTTCATACTTATAATTACGTTCCAATGAGGTCGGATTATACTGTATGAACCTACAATATCATTCTATCATACATCATTTAACAGATTATTCAAATACAAGTATTCAAGACTCACCTAGTGGATTCAAAAGGATATGTAATGAACTTTGGGTCGAACGGAATATCAGGCAATGTGTTACAATATTTAACCCTACATATTAACTCGGACCTAAAATCAGGGCAATTACAAGGTGTTACAATGTTTCAGAATGGCACTTTTAGGTTATGACATAAAAGGACAGTTTACCTTTTTTCTGCTGGCCTAGCGGTACGTTTATCTCTGTCTGTAGTACTGCCATTTGTCTGAATTGTCGGAGCCATATCACGTCAATGAATAAAAGCCAATATTTTACACATCACACCAAAATATCCTTCAGCACTGTAACTTTATCAGTGTAAACCTCACTTTGTGTATGAAAGCTTCGGCGCCATCTAGTTCAGTACACCGTTTGAATATAATGCCAAAATTTCATTTTTTTAAAATATGTATATGTGTTAAATTCAGAGTATATCTAAACAGTACTGTGATTTATATTATATATGATTTTATAGATATAAAACTTATATATCACAGAAAATAGTTAACTTACAATCTATCGCTACATGTACTACATATTGAGTTGTTACGCGAGGGTAAACGTTTAACAATAAAATACAATATACGATTTATTATTATTTATAGATTATGGATGTTTATGCAAATTATAATTTTTAATTCTAGAAACCCATAATAAAAGAAATAAACTGCTATTTTATTCTCATTTTTACAGAATAAAATAAAAGTTCGTAGAACATATTAAGAACAATGTATAAAGTCCGCAGTTTATTGTAGGTATTTATAATATTTCATACAAACAATACCGTTTCAAGTGTAAATACAAATAATGTCCACGGTTTTGCATTTCGCGTGATTTTAGTACGCAGGCGTTCATTCAACCACGATATTGATTTGAATGCGCAATGCCAAATAACGATGGTTGGTCTCATTCGGAAATGCGGACGTTGCTTCTCGTAACACATCGGGTCGCCCAGTAACGGGGCTAATATTCCAGAGCTTATCATAGTAAAGGAAAAGGTGCATAAAGTGAGAAAAATTAGAAGAAATGGTTGGACCAAACGTGTCCTTGTGACTAACCGTCCCGGAAGGTGGGTCAACATCCACGCAGGGCGCATCCTTCAGGACACCTTCCGAACACGAACGTGCAAATACGGAACTCGCGACGCTTTGTAAGGTAAACTAGGAGAGAACTTGTTGTATGCAAACATACTATAAACCTTAATGATAGACCTGGAAAATTATATCTTATTTAACGCAATCAACAAGGAAATCGGCCATAAAATGGTACCTTCGAAACTACCGCCAAGTTTCAAATTCTTGGCGCGTAAAAAATAAATATAAACCATTCGATATTGAAGTTAAATTACAATTACATGATATGGTAAAAAGTTTTTTATCTCTTCTGACTTCACTTTGCTTTTTTTTAGGTGTATCCCGTGAGCCCTGTAACAGGGCCCGGCGCAGCGAGGTCCGTATGGGAACTAAGTCCCGATCCCGACATGGTCGGGCATCTACCAAACACTCCAATTTCTAACACTGCTCATCCAAGTCACGGATCTTCCAAAGGAACTGTATTACAATCAAGAAATGGACCCGATGACAATATTTACGCCGATGAACGTACATCGGGTCAGACACCATCTGATGAAACAAGGAGGATCTTTGAGCTTCTTAGATCCGGGTGAGGCTACATACTTTCAGACACTTGTCTGATTATTTTTATCTTCTTTCCAAATAATAAAAAAAAGCGTTAAATGTGATTTTTAGTGAAATTGGAGCAGTTGATGAATTAGTGGAGAAGAATGGCTTAAGTGTATTAAGTGCAAGAGATGAATGGGGGTATACTCCTGCCCACTGGGCAGCTTTGGATGGAAACATTGAAGTTAGTTTGTGTATTTTATTAAATGTGAAAAATTATACCATTTTCTTTCACTAAAATGACGATCTTTTGTCATACACTAGGTGATGAGATACTTAATAGAAAGAAATGGACCAGTTGATCTTTCTTGTCTTGGAACACAAGGACCTAGGCCTATACACTGGGCATGCAGAAAAGGCCACAGTGCAATAGTTCAATTGTTGTTAAAGGTATGTAATTTCATCAAAATATCATTTAGAAAATTACAATATAGTTTAACATAATTGAATTTACATTATGTTTGCTTTTAAGGCAGGAGTTGCTGTTAATGCAGCTGACTTCAAAGGATTAACACCTTTGATGACAGCTTGCATGTTTGGGAAATTTGCGACAGCAGCATTTTTGTTGGGATCTGGTGCTTTGGGACACTTAACAGACATAAATGGTGATACTGCTCTTCATTGGGCAGCATACAAAGGCCATGCGGAATTAATAAGATTACTTATATACAGTGGAGTAGATTTACAGAAGCCGGATTATTTTGGATCTACTCCATTGCATTTAGCGTGCCTTTCCGGCAATGTTAGTTGTGTTAAAATATTATGTGAAAAGAGTAAAATTGAATTGGAACCTCGTGATAAGAACGGGAAAACACCATTGCAATTGGCAAAAAGCCACAGACATTCGGAGATCGTAAGGATACTTCAAGCTGAACAAAAACGTCGAGCTAGATGGATTCCACCTATCAACGAACTTTGGTTTATATATTATTCCTGTCGTTTATTAACAGCATTCCAATTTACTACCATATTAACATTTCTCTTCCTTGAAGGGCACTACTATTTGGTGGAGCTGGAAACAGTAAAGGTCCTATACTGCTCTTTATGATATCTGTTTTACTATGGGGGTATCCAATGTACTTACTGAAATGTATCCCACTAACATGGAACCTTTTACGCGGCAGTCATTATTGTTTCATCTATTGGAACGTTGTGATGTGGATCTCTTGGATTGTAGCAAATAGAAGGGATCCTGGCTATGTACCACAGAACAGTGAAACCTACTATAGGGCAATTAAACAAGTATTGCTTTATAATTTAAGTGTTACTAGCTAGAGTGTATCATAAAATTTGTAATAAAATAATGTTCATTTTCAGATTCCATATTTTGATAAATGGAAAAAAAGAAACGTATTGTTATCTCGGTTATGTCACAGTTGTAGATGTTTCAGGCCTTTGAGGGCAAAGCACTGTAGAATCTGCAATAGATGTGTTACATATTTCGACCATCATTGTCCGTTTATATACAATTGTGTTGGTTTAAGGAACAGGTAATTTACAAGATATTACTACTATACTATATTGCTACAATGTGATTAATCAATGAATTATTGTTACAGGATGTGGTTTTTCCTCTTTGTTATGTGTGTGGCAATAAATTGTTCCTTTTCAATTTACTTTGCTTGCTACTGCATGGCAATTGAAGGAATTCAATTATTATACGTATTAGGTGTATTAGAAGCTTTGGTCTTTTGTGGATTAGGATGGATTTTAACATGCACTTCGGTAAAAATAAATACAATCGTATTTGTTCAATGATATTAAGTGATTTACTTGCCTGAATTTATAATGATGCATCTCTTTTCCACAGGTATTGCATGCATGTATGAATTTAACCACAAATGAAATGTTTAATTACAAACGATATTCATATTTAAGAGACAAGAAGGGCAGGTACTTAAATCCATTTAGTAGAGGTCCTGTCCTTAATTTCATTGAATTCTTCCTCTGTCCACCGAATCATCAGGCAAACGACCCTCAAAGTTATCACATACTTTCGGAGGATATCATGTGAAATATTGTAAATTGTGATCACTATTTTACAGCGCCTTTGCACATGTAGAAAATGAAAAAATGTTATTAATTATACAATTCATACTATTTTTTGGGGATAATTACAACATATGTACCTGCACATGATCTACATTGTTACTGCTTGTAATACTGTCACTTTTTATCTATGATATTATTTATGAAGCATGTTTCAATAAATAATTTATTAACTTACATATTTCTATTTATTACACCTCTAATATATAATAATCTTTACAAAATGTCTGTAAAATGAACGAATTGTTAAATGTTATTTCAAATAATGTCTTGTTACAATTAAAGTCAATTCATTAAAAGTGCTGGTAAAGAAGCAACATTAAATCTTAAAATCATGCATAAATGTTTAAAATTGATATATACAATTAATTTTAAAAAGTCTATGTGTAACATGTCTATGTAAAATGTATAATATATCTTTGGTGAAATATACTGCGTCTCCTTATGTAACTTAATTAAAATACTAATCTGATTCAATCTACATCATTAAAAACTGTATGTACTGTATAAAAACAGTACTCGTAAAAAATAGTAAAATCGATCAATTGGTATAAAAATTGTGGTTTAGAATAAAATATTATAGCCTTAATTTTGGCAGATATTCGGGCTTATATGTACATGCCCGTGTCAATCGTTATAGTAATTATCGAACACAAGTGAAATTTTTCATTTCAGTTCATAGCAGAAATCGTAATTTGGTGGTGGATCAGGAATGGCAGGCGGATCCTGAGGAATGTCAATTCCTTCTGCGTCTAAAAGGCTCAATTTAATATCCATGGACAATAATGTTTCCAAATCATCTTCTGCCTCTTTACTGGTCATTCTGTTGCCTGTGAATAAATGCTCACTTTTCTAAATCTGTACGACCCATGGTACATCGTTCAAATAGTGTTACTACATACCTAATAAGGCATTAATGCCATCCGTCCAATAATCGAAGACCTGTTCGTCGGGAGCAACGAAGTCTAAACTTGAAACGTCAACAGAGTCCAAACTTAAGGAGAAAGCTAACTGATGAGTCGTTTTTCGTCGTTGCAAATCTTTCATATGAGGACAATCTCTTCCAGTCAATAAACCCCGAATTTCAACGACAGCTAATTTTGTAGGCAGCTCGTCAATCGTTGGCACTGATTTCTCATCACAGTCTCCATAATGAAATACTTTATGATTGGGCGATAGTCGAACATACCAAAATTTATCTTTGATTCTCTGTACCAATTACAATTTTCCTAATAAGTATAACGATCTAACAAATGTATTATTAAATTACAGGCTTATGTGAAAAAGAAAATGAAGTACCTGTCCTCTGGCACTATACTTCATGAATCTAGTGCCTTCTACCAAGAAACCTAGGCGTTGTTGTTGAATGAGGTCTAGAATTTCAGGTGTGATTTGTTCCCTCAATTCAACTATTGGTCTTGCATGACTTTCCCACTCTTCCCTACTAGTTCTTTCTTGTTGCCAAAGATTGGTAATTGTTGAATATGTTAATTGTTGTAGCTTGGTTTTAAATTTATCCAACCCTGTGGGTTTACTCTGAAGCGCTCTAGTGACCTGCTCCCTTACAACAGAAAATACTTTCACAAAATCTTCGATAGTGGCTCTCATCTCCTTCCAAGTTTTGTTCAAAAGAACTATGCACACACAATAAAACTCCTCGAATGGATGATCATGAGTAAAAAACATGGGATGATATGATTGGCCTTGTTCACTAGGTGCCTCTCCAATACGTAACACCTATCAAATTAACGAATTAGTTTGTCCCAGTAAATTATTTCATATTAAATGTAAACTTACCTCACAAAGTAGTTTAACAAGCTCCACACTTGTCCTACCAAACGGACACTCGTGTTCATCTGCCCTGCATGAATTCTCAAGCACAACTTTAGTATAAGCTTCAGTGTGATTACGTGCGAAATATATCATACAGTCTAAAGCAAGCATTCCAGGTGGAGCTTCAGTGAAGTCCAGAGCAGGATTAATGTCATACTTAAACCCCAATTTTTTGTAATCTTTAGCATAGAGACCCTGTTTACGAGCAGTCACGTCTCCGCCAATTGCTCCTTCAGTATCAAAGGCAATTCTTCTAAGTTCTTTAATTTTATCGTGTCCATCTTGATCCTGAGGATCCATTTTTGTCATCATTCGCTGTTCCCATAGACTTAACATTAACGTTTGTAATACATACAACTGATGCGCCATTTCTGCACCAATCTATATAAGGAGTCAATTGTATAATAAACTTACATGAATATTATAAAAGAAATAAGTGGACACCTGACCAACTCATACCTGACCAGTGGACTGTATGATTTTGGTTAAAAAAACATTTCTAACATGTTTCGATTGAAGAGTCGCGGCAACCGCTCTGCGTTTCGATAAATCAGCCTTTAAGAATAAGGCATTTATCAGTGCTATTGCATTTTGTTGTATTTGTGGACGAATACTTTGCAGATGCATCACTAAGTTAGGAAAAGTTACTTCTTTCTCAACTTGTCCATATTTTCCAGAGGAATTGAGTACTATATTTTCAAGGATGCTAAGTGAAGCTTCGGTAACACTATTATCTTGATTTACAGCCTGGTTGTTCACATAGCTTGCTACCTTATTAATAAAAGGAGTTTCCAATATGTCCCATGAAACAATACCATGATCCATGAGTTCTACAAACGATTGAAGTGAATATGCAAGTGCACTGCCTTCGTATTTCTTTCCTTCCACCTGTAAAAAGTACACGAAACAGAGAATGATATAAAAAAGTGCAATTAAAAGACATTGAAGAGTTAGGAAGACTTTAAATACCTGTGATATAATCAAGGCTAATCCTTGCTTATTTATAAATTCTAATGCAAAAGTCATATCTGTACTGAGTGTGCTCAACTTTTGCAGAGCTATATTTTTCTCCTCCATCGTTCCATTATTAAGCTTGACCAAAATGTCACTGGCTGTTTTAGAAGGAGAAAATTCCAATCTTAGAATACTGCCATTCTTCACTTCATTACGATTCTTCTCTGTGATATAATTGTTAGTGTCATGAAATTGTAATGAATATGAATCAGGGTCTGAGAGGCCCCATCCGTTGCATAGTTCCTAATAAAAATTTAATTAAACATTGTTAAAACTTCCTATTTGATAAACAATCAGTATGATATTTTTCATTAAATAAATGCCATCAAAAATAGTAACAAATGTAATGATTAGGTAGTGGATCTTTATGCAAATGTAGATATTTATAAATTAATTTATAGACAATGGAATAAAACAGAAATCTATTTATCGTATTAAGAGTTTTATCAGATATGTACCACATAAACACTTTTTACTGTACTGAGTTATAGATAACCATTCATGACACAAATGTATAAAATTGACAATCTGATAATCATTTCCGTAGTACAGTAGATTTTATTCGAAATACCTGAATGATTCCAGTTAGTGGGTGCTTTTGATTAAATTCGATGAGTTGCGGCACTTGATCCGTCATTTTGACAGCGATTTTCACAATGTTTGAATCCTTCTGGACCGGCATTTTTATTGTCTGTGTGTACATGAAGAGATGAGGAACAATTATTTAATTACCGAAACGAAATCGGAAAATAGACGCCGGTCCAGTCTCTTCCAAAGAATGTTATCAGTTTGACGTATCTCTTGTCATAACAACGTGACGGCCATCATGCTGCAGAATGCTACATTTGTCTCAAATCACAGAGCGTTCAACAGTGGGGCCTCGCCCCTCCACGAATTAAATGAACAGAAGCAGAAGGAAGTGTTTCGTAATGACTGAACTGAATGACGTTTACGCGCAGGCCTACGGGTAGGCGGCAATACAAAGCTAATCAATTATTTAAAACCAATTTTGTAGAATTACTGAAAAATAATTAACACTTATAGGTAAAGAATCTTAATGGGAATAAGGAATATTTCAAAATTGTTTATTTATTGATGACCGTTTTTCTCATTTTGATTGCCTTAGAAAACATTTCTATACTTTTCTGTTATTTGTTTATATTAAAAATTGATATACAATGTAAAGTCAAGATTAGTCGTACAAGATTTATAATATGCAAATGCTCTGTATAAAGTAAAACAAATTTCTTCTATTCAGAACTATTTACTTATTTATTTCGCAATATTAGTATCTCTTCTCTTTGTAGTCTTTGTATATTTGAACTTATCAAGAAAATAGTACGCATTATTTCTTCATTCTGTATATAGCCTGTACATTATTACTTAACTACTATTTGTACAATCGTTCGATGTAGTTATTCTAATATTTGATATACATATAAAATATAACATGAAAGCACTGAAGAACATTTTACATTGGAATTTATAGTTTCCAATCCCAGGGTATACATAAGACACCATCACTCATGACAGAGTAATAATGTGTAACCCAAAGCATAACACCTTCTAACATAGGCGCCAATATACTTTTGTGCAACAATAAACGTTCACAGCATTGTATCATCAGATCTGGCGTAATACTATCATCCTTATTAAGATCAGTTAAACCCAATTCTTTGACAGCTTTGTCGTGAAGTTCACGTTCTACATACTTTATACTGCAATGAATTAATATATAGAATAAGAATGTAATCTTTTGAAATTAAATAGTAAAGAAAATCTTACTTGTTATAGTGATGTAATCTTTTAGTGGCTTCTTCCAAGTTTTCTGTAATGAAATTAACTAAAAGAAAACTTGGGCATGAAGATGGAACTATAAATTGCCCAGTAGGAGAGAGCATTAAAGGACCAGCTTCCCTGTAAATAAAGGTTCTTTTAGAATGTATATTTATCTTAAATGTATACAACAGTTACTATACTTACAAGTGAAATAATCAAATCTATGTGATACTTACATAGGAACCAAAAGTAAATATATTACATAGGAAATGTTAAATACTTCAGAGATAATACTAACGCTTCAATTACAATCTCATAAGCTGATAAGTTGGTTGGCCACACTTTTGGATAGTTTCTCCTTCCTCTGTAGTCTGAGAGGGTCGTAGTTAACTGACGAAGCTGACGCTCGTACTGGCTAACCATTACCTTTGGCATGAATTTCCTGCACATATAGAGCACCCTGAGCCTTACCGTCACTCAATTAATATGTTGTATTACGCACCGTCGACCAACTTTTATGTCAAGAAGTACTTGTGAAACTGCCTTCTCGAAAGCTGGTAATCTCAACAGTACAACATCATGTTTTTGAACATTTCTGATTAGCTGTAAGAAAACATCGTTTTAACAATGAAACATAATTAATAATCATTTCTTTACGTTCAGTAATGTATTCTTACATCAAGCCAATTGTGTCTGACTTCTCCTGAATTTAACATAACATTTCCCTCTAGACTAATGCCTGTGTCATTGGCAAATACTAGTGTCCTACTTCTTAATACTTCCATAGGTTCGGGATGATGTTCAACTAAAGCCTTGAATGCTAACAAACAGCCTCTATAATGAGCTATATTCCATCCGCAATCCCATATAATATTTTTTAAGCCTAATTTTGAGCATAATATTTTTTCTAGTTTTTGTACCTCCTCTCTCATTGGCCTACATGCCTCCAACTTTACATGTACTTCATTAATATGTTTATCTAAATAAGCCCTAATCAACAGTATTCAATTAAAATTGTTAAAAAAAGTTATGGCTATTTAACTGAGAAAGATGTATTCAACATTGATCTTACTTAAGGGTATCTGGTTCTGTATTGATCTTCCTTTTCATTATAATAGATGCATAAATAGGATCATCTTCTAATTCTGAAAAATCAATATCCTCCCCTGAGGTTCCTTTTCTTTGCCAAAACTTTGATTTATATTTTGTAGTATCTGATGGTTTTTCCTCTTCAATTTTGTCCACAAATGTGGTTGGCAGATCGCATGTTTTTAAAATAGAGAGAATAGTTTGTCTCAGATCCTTTTCTTTCAATTGTATCTGTACTAGAGTAAATTTACCAGCCTTGACTTCTTTCTCATCTTTAGAGCGTAAATAAAATGGCAAAATGGTAGGCCGTATAGGTCTTTGTTGTTGCAAACACTCTAAGATGGAGCTTAATTGTTTTAAGGAGTTTTCATTTACAGTCTGGAAAATTCAAATTCATTTAGATTCAAACAACTTAAGCAAAATTAAAAAATAAACATCAATATAGTGGAGTAAGTGCAATGTAGGTGCAATCATTATTGCATCTCCTTTGTTCTATAAATAATCCTAGTTATAATCGGGCAGTAAACTGCGTTTCCAAGAGGCAGTCGATCGAAATTGTTTACAATTTATATACCAATATTTGACGAATAAATACTCACTCTTTGCGTGGGATATTGACCAAAAAGGTCAGGATGAACCGTAAAATAAAAAGGTCGAAGTGCCGTTGACACTTCGCCTGTGCTTAATGCCCTCACAGCATCTCTCTTGCAAAAACTGTCAAAGAAGTCACTTTTAAATATAATTCAATCGAATTCCTACGATTCAATAAAAAAGATTCACTTACCATCTTCCCAGAGCACAAAACATTTTTGTAGCTCACCGTAATGTCATCACACGTCACATCACACATAAGTTTACCAGCTAAAACGCGATAAACATCGTATTTATCGCTCATCGAACTTACCAAAACATCCTACTATATATATATATATGTTATACAAATAGCGAGTCTGTAGCTCATTGGCTGCAAAACACAATCTTTCAGGCATATAAGATTCCCGAGTTTTCTGCAGTTTTCTGTTCTTTTTCGCTCTGCGACCGTTCTTGCTCCGTTCCAATATGCAAACTCGATGTAACATTGGACTTGAACCTCTTTCTTTTTGTCTAATCAATGGTGGGATCTACGTAAATATATAGTTAGATGCATATATAACACGTACCATGTGTGCTGTTAAAAATAAATATAAATATCCGATGCATTACTGTAACAACACAGGGAATATCTGTGCTATAGACAATACTGACGTCACTAACTTTATATGTAGCAGCGTTGCTCAGCGCAAACCCAGCGAAATTTGAAATAATAATTGTAAAATAAATGTTTTAAATAACACTAATCGTTGTACTTGAATTGATGTGATTTTCTGTAGCTGATTAATTACATAAATTTAAAGTAAAATGAATATTTATAGGAGTAGTATATGTATTTATTCCTTTAAACAGATAATATTTATTATTGATTCAAAAGTTGTTCTTGGAATAAATACCTCGGTAGTATGACTAGAATGAGTTAAATTAAGAGAATGCAAATAATAGTCAGCTGTGATGTGTATATACCTAACCTAGCTTCACGCTTTACTATACATATACATATATACATAAATAATTCAACATTTGAATGAATTTCTTAATGTAAGAATAATCCATATGTATGTAGAGTATAAAAATTATTATTGTAAAGTACCTTTTTTACAGTTGTATTAACATTTTACAAAAATAAAGTGTAAAGTCTTTGTACAGAGTTCGTAAATATGGGTATCATATTTAAATTAATATTAGACATACATAACACATACTATATACACCATTGCATTACCATTCAAGTACTGAAATATAAGTCGCTAGAGACAAACAAACGAGGAAACATACTAATTGTAACAAAATTATCAATCATGATACAAAATGCTGAATTTGTACTAGTTAACATTTTTAAATGTCAGTTAATATTACAAGAATGCACTTTTCCAAGTCCACCAATGCAAAAATAGAAGTTGCAAATAATTTGTTACATTTACAATTTCATTTCTTACAATGTTCATTCTCATATTATTTTTAAAGAGGAGGTATTGCTGAAGTACATCTAACAAACGAATATCTCAATGATGCCAGTAACTTAACATATTTTCGGTACATATTTCAGTATACGTATCACAAGTTGCTTGTGTAATTGCATTTGCATATTTATTGCAAATGAACTACTGCTAAGATTTATGTACAAATAAATACGAAGATTGAATAAAAAATCAATATTTTAATTATTTTAACATAATACTAATTGCATTGAAATTTTATTTCCAACGCTTCATAATGGTATATAATATTTAAAACTACCATGTCGTGATACATTATATGGCGTCAAATTTGAAAACTATTCTTTTTTCTATTACTTTTTAAGTAGGGTATTCATTTCCTTAACATCTATTATACCCTTTAAACTTTTGAAATCCAAATTCTTTTAAAACTAATAATATAATATTATTGAAAACTTAACAAGAGATGATCAAAGTCGAAATAAATTTCAAATACATTTCCTGTAGTTTGAAAGTACGAAATTTCATCTGAAACTTTGATGGAAACAAATTCATCATTCATTAGTATCATGAACAATAATATATTGTGATAAAATCTTTATAGATGTTTCGTTTTCAAGATATTTAAAATTATCTAAGTCTATCTATACATTCTTTGAAATCCATTGACTGATAATGCTAACGAAAAGACACTGACTGAAAGTACAATAATGTAGACTCAATGTATTGTACTTAAAGCAAAATTAGTTTAACTCGATGTAGCATTGAAAATGGAATCAATAACTCGTGAAGCTTGTTATTTATAAGCATGCTTAGAAATCCATTTTAAACTTCAATCATCTAAAAACAATCAACTTTTTAAAGATTGTTTTCACGTACCACAAAATAATACTTTAAAATAATCTCAGTACTATTTAACATTCTCCTTAAACCGTATGATTACCATGAAGAAAGAGCAATCTGTCTATTAGATGAGGAGGTAAAGCGGCTCGCCTTGTATCATACAGAACTTGCACCTCCGCTGGGATTCTAGAAGGTGGTGCACAACATGCAGGCACACAATTATATCTACAAGCCAGCTTCCCTAAATTTGGACACTTTGCGGAAATTTTAGCCCACCACTGAAGCGGACAGCAATCAAGAGGAGCGGTCGCTTCCGAATGATATTGTACAAGTTCAAGATCTGCCTTCTCCTCTGCGGGCATTCCACTTTTTGTCGAACATAAACCACCAAGTAAAAGTTCCATACCTAAATGTGGTTCATTAATTATCAAATGTTACTAAATATTGTAAGAATTTAAATTATGATTTATGATACTTGTACGTACCAGATAAACGACTTTTCTTATTTGGAGGCTCGTCCTCAATTTTAATAGTTGTTGTAGTATCCCCAGACTCTTCCTGTATTAATTTTGTTAACATATCTTTAATAGGAGTTGCAACTAGATTTTTATCTTCTTCAGTAGCATATGGAAGTTGCTTAAATCTAATGTTATACATTGTTTTAGTTATATTTTCATTTACAGACACACCTGACAGTGCTAAACACTACAAGTAAAAATCTATAATTACCTTGGATCTAGAGTGGTAGCAATTTGAAGTAAAAGAGTAACATTGTAATCCGCATATCTATCGCAAAGCATATCGGATAAGGATTCTTTGAAAGATCTAGCTATATCACTGTCAGTTTCTTTTACTTTGAGATGAGAAGATACAAGTTGCCAAAGTAATGGTTTCAGTAATGATATCAAAGGCATTTTTTCCTCGCTAAGCGTCATGATAGTGACTTTGAACGGTTCCAGAACAGTCACAAGATCCTCTATGATCTTCCACTGTTCATTTGTTACATCAACCATCTCTTGATCAACTCCTTCCATGCTTTCTAAAATCGACGTTACGATATTACGACGTAGGACTATCTGCTCGAGCATGTTGTACGTTGACGTCCACACGGGCGGATAATCCATCAGCATGGTATTCTCCTCCAGCTGAAATCATGTTAAATGAATTAAAAAATTTGCTCATTCATCAATTAACAATCGATTTAATTATCAATAAAGTGAATAGCTTTTCACCTAACTAGGATTGCATAGAATTTGCTAGGGACTTTACAATTTCTAATTGGTGAACCAGGTTTATTATTGTTCCACTCCACCAAGTGAAGATTAAAGTACAGTTCCCTTTATTTATGCAACCATTGTAGGTAGAACTCTACCATAACATTGTTTGTGTACAATATAATTTTAAATTTACCTCCAGTAACTGTTCTTGCATCGATAGAGCTGCCGATGCAGCTGGATGGCTTATGATAGCTCCGATAGCTGCTCTACATTTAGACAATATAGAAGCAACCTCTGGATTTTCAAAACAAGCTTGAGCACATACTTGTAAAGTATGAAGTAAACAAGGAACTAATGTTAATCCCCGATTTGTTAATGCAGTTAACAGTTCTGTTCTAGATGTAGCTACCACCGTAGCAGTTATCCTCTCTATTTTCAAATCCCAATCAAGCAACAAAGAATCTATTGTATTGCCCCATTGAGACTCTTCCCAATCCAACGGCGCATGAATTGTACTTAATACTTTACATTCTAAGACTGGTTCACCGACATTTTGATAGTAAACAGAGATAGTAACAAAACGTTCGTCAGAATTTGATCTCCACTCTTCAACGGTAAGACCCACTTCACCAGTGACACAAGTCAAAGTTGTCGCCACTGATTCACGGAAGGTGTCATAAATCTTTGGTATGATTTCATCTTCTAATTTATTTTTATTCGGAATTTCGCAAGGCGACCGTAGAGTCGCGACTAGCCTCTGAAATCCTCGGCCTTCCACTACCTCAGGTAACTGTAAGTCCATTATAATGAATTCTGCTATAGCATCAGACACATTTTTCCCGTCGATGCTCGACTGATTAATATTCTCTTCGGCCATAAGAAAGGCCACATTTTGGCTGTTATTACTAATATTCGAACCGCTTTTGATCATGACTCGTAACGGCTGACCGATTGAAATGTCATCCTCGATGTTAGAAAGACTTATATTCGGATCTGTCACGAACTGAATATCCCCGTCTATCTGTACAGTACCATCAGCATTAGTTGTGTAAATATGTTGTGCGGACGTTAAACCTGCCTTTAATAACCTCTTCTGAGCTCTCCGCTCTTTCGTTTCTTGTGAAAGTATCCGCCTTCGAGGAGGATTAGTAGTTTCGAGTTCTAACAACTCTTGAGCATGTTTGTTTTGCAAGTGCATACGCAAGTTGCTGGTGTTACGATTGTAGGCGATTTGAGTTTTGCATAAGATGCAAATAATCTTGACTTTAGTTAGAATGTCTCCATCGTCTGTGGCTGGAAATCCAAAGAACTTCCAATAGATACTTCGCATCGACATGGGCACCACTAATTTCTTGTACGTGTACGTATGCTTTTCTTCCATCATTTTTGCAAGTACCATTTGCATTTCGGTCTTAGAATCCTCCGCCGTGGCGGATTTTCCGCTGTTCGACAATGATATTGATTTACTTTCCATGATTCTAAATCAAAAACCCACATGTGCCGGGCGGGTCTTGTTGTCGTTTTAGGTATTAAAATACAAATATAAAGTATTTCTTGTATTTCGGCTATTTCATAGCGTCTTCTTTCTCATCAAAATGGAGGATTTTCGTTCGGAACGATGCATTGCTTTTCCGTTTAGAATATCCGCGTGTCCGGCTCGTGCTCGTAACCGTATAACAAATTTACCGCGAAGCAATCCGATATCTTAAAGCAGCGATTTTACAGATATATCGAACTTCAATTTCTCGTTTCGAAAAGAACGATGCCCAATCGGTTATCGACTACCTCTCGTAACGACGCTATCGACTTTCGTTCTCTTGTTCAAAGAAATATCGCTACGCGTAGACCTCTCAACTAATCGATCCCACAAAATGGTGAGGTTTCAACGTGGCGCCATCTTTATCGATTATTACGTACAATATATAGTCTTGTTTAAATGAAAACAAAATATTTCATTACAGAAAGAAGAGAGGAACAATTTCATAAAACCATGGGAATACGAAATTACATATAAAAAAATATGTATTCTATTTTTAATTGTTGCTTTTAGCAAACTCGGCTTCCATTAGGGGAAAAAGTGGCGTAAGAAAAGAGCTTCCTACCATTTAGCAAAATTTATTTCAAATACTGAAGTAAATGTTAAACCGAATGTTAATTTCGCATAAGTTTCAATAACTCCGAGACCAAGTGGTAGGAGGTCTTTCCCTTACATCACTTTTTCCTCTAGCGGAAGCCGAGTTTGCTCGTGAAGGTACCTGTTTATGTAAAAAGAACAGTTCCCTGCCAGGCTTGGGCGTTAAAGATTTGCAAGCTGTCTATTATATGCATACATTTTATTTAATTATTAACAAAAAAAAGTGAATTCTTATGGAAGAAACAATTAAATATGAAGAGTTTTTAGTGAAAGTTCTATTTGTAGAAATGTTATCAGATCTGAAATTTTGATAATACTTTTCGGAATGCGACTATTTTATTTCGTTAATATTTTTCAGGTATTCGTTTTGAATACAATCTAAAATTGAAGTAATCAAGTTAGTAGTACTTTCACTGGAAGAAATGTATTTGCCTAGAAAGTATAAAATACTATTGTTGCTGCTGGTATGGAGATTAAGCTCTGTATTTCTTGTTCAAACTACACATGTACCAGATAAATATTGGCAATCATTGGAAGTGGCTCATCATTTAGCATTTGGATATGGATACTTAACGTGGGAATGGACTGCAAACATTCGCAATTACATCTATCCATTCCTGATATCTATCATTTACAGAATATTGGCACTAATATCATTAGATTATGTAACAGTTTTGACAACAGTGCCTAGAATATTCCAAGCATTAATCACTGCTTATGGAGAATTCAAATTTTATCAATGGACAAAAAATAAGTGGACACTATATAGCTTATGTATAAATTGGTACTGGTACTATTAAGAATATTTTCTGGTACCCATAAGAATATTGATTTGTGAGCCTAATTTTCATAATTCTACAAATTACGTGGACGAAGCAGATGCATTTCTTGCAGATCCAATGCAATGGCTGAGTCACAATTACAATGAAAATGATGCTGCAACAATACCTACTCACGTAATAACATTTGACAATGTCTCACCAAAAATAGTGCAATTTTTAGAACATTATCAACTCATTTCTGAGATATTTTATACGCACTTTCCTCAATCAAATTATGGAAGATGTATTCATATATACAAACTGAAATAAAAATATTGAATTTGAATTGTAAGAAACGAAATATATTACATACTTCTGTTTCCTCTGCAGTTTATTTCTAAATAGAAGATTCTTTCATTGAAATGAACAATTGAGAAACTAAGCTGATCAATTCTGTGACATAAAAAGTAATTAAACCAATATTATTATATACCAAATTGATAATACTATTTCATAGTTACGTTTAAAATGCGTAACCATAAGCACACTACTAGAAATACTAAAATGAAGAATTAAAAGTAAATGAAGTTGATTAGGTTATAAGAGGTTGAAACATCGCGGGCTGCAGGAGCGTGTTAAGATGTTTGCAGGCCCAGAGCAACAATTATTATTTTGTTTGTATTCATATTATTAGGTCTGTCCTTAATATTATTATTATAAAAAAATATGAATTATTTTTTATGATATGAAAGCATACGATATTGAATAAACTTCAGATCATTCTACTGGAATATGTACATAACTCACGATTGTCATATATCGGTATGTTACCATCTAAGTCTAAGTCTTTACTGATCAAACGAACGATATGTTTGGAAACGTAAATTCTACACTTTTTGGGGCTGTGATGGGCCAGATTTCTAAGAATTGATCAATTAACGGCTTCCAATCACACACGCGCTCTTCTCGCCGATCGTTCGTTCACTTGTTGACGTAGCTACATACAGCCTGCATGATACAAGGTGGGCTGGATGTACACACTTTTTGATCAGCTTACTATCTCTGTTAGAGATATCAAAAAAGTTATTGAGTATTGAAATATTCGATTTAAAGCATTATTATATACCTATATCGCACTTTCTGTGATGAAAAATATGTGAGTTAAACACGACATCGTATGTGTCTTTCCTTTCTTGCTGGGCGACAGAACGGGGTGCCGAGATATACGTGTTAGCGAGGGGCGTTCCTAGCCATCAATTAATGGATCTTCAATTATCGAGCTTCTACCATTCAACAAAGATACAATTAATTCTTAACAAAAAATGAGTACGTTGGATCAGATACTAAACATCAAAAAGCAGCAAACATTCAATACAAATACTCTTCATTCTTTCTCTATGTCTGTTGTATTCCGTCATTGAAGCTACGTTTGTAGATTGTATGAAGCGTTCCGTATGATTCCATGAACGTCTCCATTCATGAATGTATCAACAGGGGCCAGTCGATAAGCGAGTGACAACCAATTCGTTTTCGACGATTACACTTAGTGAACGATTACTTAACACGCAGCAATAGGTTGGACCAGCGTCGAAGAGGGCGGTCTCGGTAATAATAGAAATAATTGAGCGCCATGGGCGGGAGGAGCCGTGTATTCCCCGTCGGGTAGTTTACCGCGAGTGGAGGGCTGGTTCCAAGGAGGTGGCGACCAACGACGACGGTCTAGGAGAGAGAAGAAAAAAGGTAAGGTGTAGAGTGATGGGAACGACGACGGAGACCACCATCTTTCGCGGAACCATTCTCGACGCGAAAATGATTCTTCGATCACGATATGATTCTGATCTACAAACGGTCGAAAATTCGCGGTGGGGAGAAACACAAACGTGTATACCGTTACCGACTAGGGCTTGAATCTCCGAAACAACGCCAGGAATGATAGAGATTCTAACGGTACTTGCCCGGCTCCGGTAGTTATCTACTTTATCGTGATCATTACCAACGCTATCCACAATGTTGCGTACTCGAAATATTTCTGCTCTTTAATCCTTGTCGATCGTTAGAAAGCATTTTAAGAAACTTTCAAAAATCCGGCCGCTCGTCGTTCCCGTGGTGTAATAAATAGTGCAATAGAGTCATTACTATTATTACCTGCACGATTTTCATTTACTTTTACATTAAGGCAGTGTTTCTTAACCTTTTTTGTATCGTGCTTCACCTCAACGCCTCAAAGATCTCGATGCCTCCTTAGCATAATAGTGAACCAAGTGTTGAACAAGTTTAATAGCTACATTATTCAAATACAGAAGGCTCGTAAATAAAACTGTTGCCGATGAGGTGACGAATGTCAATTGCTAATTGTCCCCCAAAATATTCAAATTCCCTATCGGTGGGGCGTACGCTCCACGTTGGTAAACACTGCGTTAAAGTCTTTGTCGTCTGACAAAGGAAATTTGTCTTTACGAAATCCAGCTGAAAAGTGTGTGGCGCAAAATTAATAATACCTGTTAACGTTTCATCGTTCGTATAAAACATGTTCTAACAAGAATCAAGATTGAACCTCCATCAATTGTTTTCGCCCGTGTCTCGTTCGATTATTCGTGGAAAGATTTTAGCGAGGTTATGGGTCCAGGCTTCCGGTTCCCCAGCGGAACTCGAGATAAATCAGGTTCGCCCGTTCGAGCTGCTAGGTGGTGTTGCAACAACAAAAACAGACGTCGAGAATGCGGATGGAGAGGAGGGACGCTTGGGAAAGCAACGGACAAGATACATACGTATATCCCCCGAGACGCTAAGCGCAGAATATAATGGTCGCGCGGGCTAAAGAAAGGCGGACGTGGTAAAGTAACGCAAGGTAAAGTAAGGTAAGGTATAACTGGTGGCTGTAATCGAAGGTACGGGCCGCGAGCGATGATGGTGGTGGTGGTGGTGGTGTGCAAACGGGATGGAAGAAAATGTGTATAGAGGGGACTGACTACATGGAGTCAACGTTCCGAGCGGGTCAGCGACCAAGCCTGTGGTAGCTTCTCCTCTCGCCTTCCTCTTCTTTTCTGTTTCTTCCTTCTATCTTCTCTCTTCATTCGTGGCCGGTTTTTTTCTTCTTCTTCGTTATTAGCGAAACTCCGTTCCGCGCTTGCTTTACGGTAAGAGACCCTCTAAATCGCGCCACGGAAACATCGGAAAATTCGTGACCGTTATCCATAGAAACAAATGGTTTCGAATGAGAAGATCCGAGGACAGGTCTACGATTAATAACAATAATAACTAATTCTACGACTGTTGCATTCGGACCTATACTAATTAGGAGGAAAATGTGTTGAATTGACAAGGGACGGATGACGGCTAAGGATAGAAGAAAAGTACCTATTATTAATTCTTGTTAAGAATTCTATTTTATCGTGTTTCACATATTCGAGTGTGCTACATACATAGGTGCATCGTGATTCGTAGTCCATTAATTCTAAAGTGTAGCGTCCTAAGTCTGAAAAAGGGTTCCGCCATTTCTTTGGACGAGGGATCCGTTCTTTCTCTTCGATGTTCGACTCCGCCTCGATTTTAAACATTAATGGGAAACCGTTCGCGGAAGGAGCAGCGTGATTTGCGACGGTTTGAAAGTTACGTGGCTCACAACGTGCAGGAAAGCCACGGGTATAATTCTCGTTCGAGAGAAAGTTCTGCGCAACGGTGAATCCGCTCCCCTTCCTTCTACATATATCGTGAAAGAGCATCCGAAACGGCGGATCGTTCGTCGCTACGAACCTACGAGTAGGTTGTATATTACAATCGAAATGTTTTTCGAGGATATCGATCGTTTCTCCCTACGAACGCGTCACAAGATGATATTACTATTGTTGTATCGTATATAAGTACTGGAGGAGCATTTCAAAAATTTTTGTTTAAAATTGTAGTCCAACTTCGAAATGCACTAAAAAGTAGAAAAAATTCCTGTTTTTATTATTCATTCAGAAATGTAACAGCGGTTAAGAAAACTTATTTTCTGTTACTAAATAGCATATTAAATATATTGCAACCATTTCAGAGACGGCGCAAAATTAAACATTACAATATTGTTGTATTTAAAACATACATACACATCGAATTGTATACTTTCTCCTTTTCGAAGTCGGTCAAAAAACTAAAGAAGCAAATTAATTGTGACGTATGATCAGCAGCAATAATACGGTGCAAGCTTTTAGAATTGTTCTATATTCGCGCGAAACAGTCCACCGATTCGACCGTTATCGCTTATGTATTTTCTGGTTCGGTTCAATGTACACTACTGCGCATAAATATTAAAGCACCTGGTCTTGTACGAAACAGGTGTTATGTACGTAAAAATGAAAAATGATACCATGTACCACTAACGTTGTCCATCGATCTTTAATATCCCCTAAGCAATATTTACTTCAGACTTTTAGCAATTTCGTAAATGCCTTAGGAACATCCATTGCATATTCGATGAGTGTCCTAATACTTACGTACGGCAGTGTATTTACGACAAAAAGACTTATGATTGTCAGTAGGTTAAGTTATACAGCAACTTGACGCTAATGCATTGCCACGATTACCGCTCGTACGTAAACGTATGTATATAGTTTCGTTTGAACATGTTTTTACATTCCAGGTCGACCAGGAGTTTTAAAACGATCACCGTTTCACGACGGTAGGATCATGGTTTTCGGCTTAGAAGATCCTACGTTGGCCCCCGAGGGTCTACAGGGGATCCCCTAAGAAGCAGGTGTCTGGCAGGTGTTCTCTGTCTTGAGGAAGTTCGCCCCTTTGTGTCCGCCTTTTGCCCTTCTGCCATCGCTCTCGGATCCGTCCGTGTAAAATGTTCTGCAAAGCAGATATATTCGGAATTTGTATATTATTTATTCTAGATCATGTCGACACGATATTCGGAACGACTATTCATTTCAATTTCAATTTTATTTTTTTTTCCCCAAACGTTTCAGGGAAATGGTCGTACGTAAATACCAACTTTTCCTTGTCCTGGATACGATTAACTTTTGACGAAGACGGTTACGATGACGAGCCAAAGGTCGGAAGCATTTTCTAGAAGGGCACGGCACCACCAGGAAGTCTTTCGAGTCCACCACAGAAGAACGCGTCTCATGAAAGTTTCAAGGATTCGTCCATTAATTATCCGTCGATTCCTGCAAGCGTGTCTGTTTGTACCTAGACGACCACCTTCCACACGACAACATCGCGTGTTTCGTTAGTCGATTTTTATAGTCGACCTTGCGCCGTTTGCCGAATCGGCTGTTTGGTATTCCGAAGCTTGATTACGCGCGCCAGGCGCTCTTTCCGGCGAGTTTATTACCATCCCGTGAATAGGATTCAGTGGTAATCAATTATCTCATTGCGAGGTAACATTTTTTTAACCTATAAAACGTTTCTCTAGCTTCATAACAATTGAGAATTATCTTTCTCATTGAGTTTGCTCGGTGAAAAATGCCATGGGCCTGCCGGGAATCAACAATGAATCTATACAGCCAAGTCATCGTGACGTTTTGATTCTTTAACCTTCTTAATGCTTGGCAATTTTTTTGTGTATCATCTAGATAATCTAAAAGTACCTTGGAAAATAGTCATTAAAATTCATACATTTTTTCTAAAGAGATAGCTAATTTAACACTTTCTTTTATTTTAAAATCTTGGAAGTATTATACTTTTGTCACTTCCTGTATCAGAATTTATAATTTGTATTACGTATGAAGAGCCGAAATATAAATACCTTCAAGGTATTTGTGGCAAAGATGGCGGAGCCGACATTTCGGCTTTTGGATACTAAAAGGGTTAAGAATTGACCACCTGATAAATTATTTAAGAATACAGTTCGATCGATTGCGCTCTGTGTGCATTCTCGAGCAGACTCGTATTGGTTTCATCGAGAAATTTGCGAGGTTAACGATCTCCCCGTTTTCTCGTAAAGTGTTGTCTTTCGTCATAGATCGATAATTTTATCGTCCGTTGGTTGAAAAGGAAGTAACAGGCCACCGTAAAAAAAAAGAAAAAACAGTCGACGGTTATGCATGCGCAGTCTATATTTATAGTACGACTCGCATCTATTTAATAGTAACGCGGCTCTCTCGATCGCATGGAATCAATATGACACGGGGAGGTTCAGAGTCCGATATCGTAAACCGGCTTTCCTTCCATCGTCGCGTCGCGGTAGACTTTGCTCTCTGTACAGGGACTTTGGTCTCGCGCTTGGTTCTCTCTGCCGTCGATGCTTTGGCCAGCTTACACCTGTTCCCAGGATCATCCTGAGCAGTCTGATTTTACAATAGTCAATAACTCATTGTACATTCTCCGTTAATTATCCTTTGAATGCGAAGCACTATCTGCAGAGACATGTATACTCTTGTGTTTTTTTTCCAACGCAAGCAATATTTGCAGTCATTCAACGAGATCGGTGGATATAATCGTTGTCCCATATAGACTTGATTGTAATTATAACGCGAAATGACGAACTTACAAAAACGGTAAACATGTACCTATTTCATAATCGTTCCGTGGTCGACCCGCTGACGAGGAAGGACGAATAATGTAGCGTGCATACATCTACACACGTAGGTATATACAAGGTGTGATGGAAATAGACAAACTTCAAGACTTTTACCAACTAGCCTACATAGTACCGCACGGCTCGGCCGGTCGAGCCGGTGTACTTCGACGCAGCGTTAACTTCAATTAATTATCATACAGCTGATTCTGAAGTGTCCATATTTAAAAATTTGTTAAGGGTCTGGGCGTTAAAAATTTAAAGATAAAGAAGTGTCGTGAGAGCAAGAGTCCGCCAAACTATTGCTTCCCAAAATAAGAATACCTTCGGTTTACGATGGAATTCAGCGATTAATTTGAACCAACGTTTACGATCCTACTCCTGTGTGTATTATCTTATTATCCGGAAAAACATTCGGATTTTACGATTACACGACCACAAAACGAATGAAATACGCTCCGAAAATCCCCCCCCCCGTCTCTGTTTCTATTATGCCGTGTATACTACGGATGTTTGTGACGGGCCAAACGAAATCACAGCATCCTTTTATATTGCCTATTCTCGATCTTGGTCCATCGCGCGTAGAGTCAGTCGACGAGAGATGCACTTGTCCTCCTCTCTCGTGGACAGTCGTTACGCGTCGTCGGGGCCGACCAATCACGACGCTGCGAGCAACAGGTGACCAACCAATCCGGTCCTCCCTGTGTCACACGCACACACCGCGCGTCTCGGCTCCTTTACGTAGCAGCGGCTAAGCATTCCGCTCCGAGACCGTAGGTACATATACATATCCGATCAAATCCAACACACGACGTTTGGCTTTCCCACTTCGTTGCCTTCGTGTTTTCTGTCTCTATACACGCACACACATAGCTGCTTCTTTCCGTTCCCCAGGTTTTTCCCCCACCAGTGTCGGCGCGATCGTGCCAACCTGTTGCTCGTCGGCTTTCCTTCGGGTTGTCTCATTCTTCCTAACAGTCGCCTGAAAACTCGTAGAAACGGCGTGCTTGCAGCTAGATCAGACCCCGGGGAGTTCGTTCCGACACGTTTCTACCTAGATAAAAATGGTTTACCCTGACATTTCTCGACGGGGTATCCTCACGAGCAAATGCGGTTTTTGTTAGGGGAAAAAGCGACGTAGGGATTGGGCCACTTGGTCTCTCGGGAGTTACTGAAATTTATGTAAACTTAACATTTAGTTTAACATGTATTTTTTAGTACTTGAAATAAATTTAGTAAATAGTAGGAGGCCTTACGCTATTTTTTCCCCTTGTGGAAGCCGAGTTTGCTCGTCAGGGTACAATCATCCAAGGGATTTCTTATGGCCGGGTCACCGTAGACCCGATACGGCTTTTGATGTAAATCAGCACCGGTCGTGAGAGACACGCTCGTGCACGCGCACGCCTATCAAGGCCGTGATTGTGTTATGGAAGGGAGTACCAAAACGGGGGCACCGGCGACTCTGTGCGCCGCGAACCTGTGTGTGATCTCTTACAGAGATACTTGTAGAACCTCCTTGTGTGTTGAGAGGGAGCGTGCAAGGTAGTCGCCATTTTCCTTTCCCTCGATTGCAATGTACACACATACACACACGTATGTCTAGACTTCAACACTGCGGGTAGACCGTTCCTGAAACGATTGATCGAACGTTGTTGTTTAGAAATAAGTCGAGGATCTAAAGATTAGGGATTGGTAATCGACGAAAGGTCCTGGTAACCGCAGAAACTCCTTCCGTTTGGCCCCCCTCAGCGTATCCTTTCTGAATGTTCTTCTTTGAGGCACGTTGATCTTCTTATTGAATTTGACATAGACAACCGGCAACTTGTGCCACATCTCCATGAAGTTCGTGAGCTTTTGATTAATGTAATGACATCAAAGTGTTAGTTGCAAAGTGTTCTGAACTTGTTTGTGTGTCGATCTAATATTTTCTCGATTCTATTGTAACCGCTAGAATGGTAGATTTCTTAAATTGCAAAGTGGCAAGTCTATTCGTCAAACATGGAGAATCCCGATTGTACTCCAAACTACGTGACGATTCTTAATACTAATGCCATAATTCTTATCGTTACTCGATATGTATCTAACCACCGCTGTGTACATTTCGCTATCGTATCGAATGTACCTACTGTTTACCTGCTTGACAGTTCATTCTAACGACCGGGATCTTTCCGCTAACGCCAATCATTCGCCATTGGTGATTCGAAGTGAACGCTCGCGGACCAATGTCCGTATACCGCTCATCGATTGGCAAAGTATCCTTGGCGATGTTAGACAAAAGAGCATCCTTGCGGTGGGATCCTCAATGGCAGGATATTCCTCATGAAACACGATCTTATTCAGATGGACTTCAACGATACTTAATTTGAATTACTGTACATCAATTGCACGTTCTGTATGGTAGAACTTTGACTACCCATTAGAGTACAGGCCTAACAATAAGACTATCTATTATAAACACACAATTGAACAGACTTTTTAATTAGTCTGTTTCACCCCTCCTTTTGAACAATATGAATTGCCAAAACATGGTAACAGAAATTGCAGGCGATGGAATAATCAAAGTTCTACTGTATTTAACCGTCCAGATCTTACAAACTCAGAGGAGTCCATAGTCTTAGACACTAGATGAAACAAGGAACAAGCTGCCCAAAACATGTCACAGGAGTCCAAGACGGAGGCAACTAAGCAACCAGGAAAGAGTACATATACATACATATTTCGTAGTCGACCTTCATAAGACAAGACACGAGACCAGAAAATCGTGTGCGCATCTCTCTCTCGAGAATCGATACTATATATCGAACAACCTCTGAGGACTCCGCCATGAAGAGGTAAAACGTGGCCGCCTCCGAGTAGAAAATAAATGGTCGAGGAGGTAGCGGGGTGAGCGTACCGCAAGGCGAGTGGAATGTCTGCGCACCTGGCCCGTGCGTTGCCGCGCTTCGACCTGCCTTTCCCTTCGCTTCTCTTTAACCTGGCTGGGTTGCGCGTTTTCACCGAAACGTATATACACAACAGACGACAAACACGCTCAACAACACAACCAGAGAAGAGTCACATTAGTGTCTCTATCGGTTTTAGATCCACTTTGGTGGTGGTGGTGGAATCAAAGGGGGGGGGGGGGACTGGCCCAGAGAGAAGTTTCTCGAATTTAACCCGTGGTTGGTTCTCTTTATACACCTCTACCTATACCGGTGCCCGTTATCGTCGAGTTTCCGCGTTTTTTCACCGCGTCGTATGTCGATCGTTCCATCCTCGTCGCGCCCGTTCGGTAACAGTGAGCGCACGCGCGCGCGGCTTGGCAGAGGCCGTCGTCCTCGTCACGCCAACGTATCGAGACACTCTCCTCGCGGAGAGTTCAACGGAGGAGCGCGGAAGGTAGCTAGAGAGAAGGAACCAGCGAAAGAGGGAGCGAGTAAGATCGAAGACGAAAAAAGGGGTTCTCTTCTCTCTCTTTCTCTCTCTCTGTTCGCTCTAGCCAACGAGCGACCAGGTTCGATGCGCAGTCGCCAGGTGAGGCAACGACGACGTGTTCGCGCAACGGTCGCCCCCCCTTCCCCACCGTTCCCCCGCCGGTTGGTTCGCCAGTGTTGCACGAAACCTCTCGCCACTCGGGACGGCGCGCCGTCGACAGAGAGACACAGAGGCCGCGTGGAAAAAACGATTTTACTCGCGGGTGCTGGCCGTTCCGCGGAGTTTTATCGTGTCGATATTTACCGTACTCTGCAGCCTGGAAAAACGTGTGATACGCTGGACGAGTTAATATATTTACGTGTGTATACGTCGTGTATATCGTTGATCGCGGTCCCCATAACCTCGAAAGAGGGGACAGAGAGCGCAACACAGATTGTGGGATAAATAAAGCGCGATATGTCGCCCGGCAGGATTTTGAGAATTTTGTGAATGTTTAGTGAGAAAGTAACCGGGTTCAGGTGAGCGCCTACGAAAAGCTTATTGCTTTTTCCCCCCTTCCTGTTGCCCCTTACATACACACACACGTATCCAGGACACGGTTACGTGTTTTCCGTTTTGTCCCCCCCGCGACGTGAAGTGTGAAGCTCTACATCGATAGATTCGGTTCACGTGGAATAAGTTTTGCTCCTCTCGACTACCTAAAGTGGGAATACATACAACAGTGTCGGAACACGGATCGAGAGGAACGGAAATCCGTGGGCATAGAAGATGCAGACGACGACGGGCGCGAGGGGACCGACCCACCTGGTCGCCCTTTACGTGGCCACCGCCGGTCTTCAGGGTAATGCTCTCGGTTCGGATGAGGAGGAGATCACGCTGCTGGTTTACGTGCTCATTGATGTGCTGCAGAACAAGGTAATTACTCCACCTGTTGACCAGGTATATGTATTAGACGTTTTATCGTGCACAGTGTTCATCGTAATATATCGCAAGATTTTCGGAGTAATTCCGCGACAGAATAGTAAAAAGTATATTTTTATATGGAATTCGATTTGTTTCAAACGATAAATAAATTGCTTAGGTCGTCAACAAAATTCTTGTTGTATCGAGATACCGTGCAAGTACCGTATCTCGAATAGTTGACAGTCAACCGTGATTTGTAAACTTACTATAACCTACACGGTTTGTAATGCTATTTAGGACGATACATACTAGTTCTTCGATGTTTTTCTTTGGTTATTAAATTCTCTTTGAAATTTTTTACCAAAGTCAAATGAATTACACTATGAGATCGTATAGACACATGCGAGAGTGATTATTCTTATTTTTTTTTCCTTTCAAAACCACCAATTTTGTGCAAAGCACATAACATGGATGCTTATTAGAGTTTTGGAGTAAAATTAATAACAGGATTTAAAGCGTTCATTTTATTTGCATTGTTTTGTGTGAAGTGTCGAATGACCGACAGTTGACACAACTGTCATTCACTGATGACTTTCCGGCCACTGTCAATCTTGCCGCGAGTCCCGCTCAGCCGTAATGCTTATGCGTGTCTCCGGCTGCCATTGTTTCTCGAATTATCCGGTGGGGGCGGAGCATCGCGCCCTCGAAAGGTCGTCCATTACCTCCAGCTTTGCCGTCGAGATTATCTGGCGCCATGGACTCCTTCTCTCATTAATTCTCCCATATTACGACGATGGGAATTCGCGTTTCCTGTATGAACGCGTTCCATAATCCATGTTAACGATAATCCCACCTTGTTCGTAAACTACATCGCCTCCTATTACGAATTTACTCCGAAATTCTTTCGAAACTTTACTCCGAAATTCTTTCGCAACTTTACTTTGAAATTCTTTCGTGACTGTTTACGTCTAATGGGGCATTTAAAGACAATTGACAGGGATTTGTGGGTAACTTGTCAGCCGCCATAATGATTGTTTCGAACGAGTAGAAAGTGTCGTTTAAATAGCGGGCAATTGTATAAACATTCGTTTAACGAAAATAACGTTTTTCCTGTTTTAATCATTAAAATATTCATTCAAGATTACTTTTATCTTTCGCGTTGTTTTTCTTCATAACAGTGTACCTTATAAAAGCTTCAAGTTGCCGCTGCGTGTTTGTTGTTTTTGAGAATTGAAAGGGATCGCGGGTATTTGTTAGCTGGCAGAATGTTATGTTTTGAACTCGTAGAAAGTTCTTTGAGCATTGGGAAACAGAATACGCATTTATTAATGAAAATATTGGTATATTCGTACAGTAGGTATCTTCGAAGGTCTTTAACGTGTCTTCAGAAAAGATTTCTAGCCTCGAAGGTAACCTTATCAGGGGTCCGCGTATCTATGTACAATGTACAAACTAACCGCAATGACCATACAGTGAAAAGCATTTCCAGAAATATCTCATACCCGGAATTGAAAATCGTGAAAGATCTTGAACATCCTACTCGTTCAACTTGTTCTGATTCATCATAATCATTTAGCCATAGCATCGTTACTATAGTTCGCGAATATTTCTCATCTAAAAGTATCCATTCTGTATTAATTTCGAAGTGTTCCGTAAGAATAATACGATTGTTGTAGTCTCCTACTTTACTCCGAAAACGAATGGCTGTAAACTTTCAGACTGAAACTGTCCCAGTAAGTTTATTGCAGAACTCGCGATACAGCACGCAGTTATCAATAGTCTATAAAAAAAAAAAATGCTACGAACTCTTCGGAATAAGGCAATATTTTTTGCGAAATTGAGAGCATCCGGGGCGGCAACAGGTGCGTCCAAGTTTCTTTATTCTTTATTGTGAATCGCCTTGCACGAGTGCGCCCGAGTTCCAGCTGGACGGTCGTGTTTCCTTTTTCCCCTCGAGTCACATACCTGACTATCTCCGATCGTGCCCGATCGGGGACAATGGCCGCCGGTGAGCTTCTCCCGCCGCGCCAAGGGCCCTCGAGGAAATCCGACCGATATGTACCGTATTGCTACTATCGTGTTGTATCGTCTACTAGTTATCCTCGAAACGAAGGATCTAACTTTGGTGAACGTTAAAACTCTATCTATCGTGTAAAAATTATTTTCAAAGCGAAGGACCAAACTTTGGTGAACGTTAAAACTTCTTAAGAGGACAACAACACTTAGCATATTAACTCTGTAATATTCTTGTAACAATTTAAGGACGTCTATAGGATGTCTTGGAAAGAATTTTCCAACTATATTAGATTGTGCATGTTTGTGAAAATTCTCGTTCTTATATATGTACTCCATTTTTAAACACCGAGATTAGAGATGTTATGGAATACGTATGAGGGATTTGATAGTTACTTTCAGTTCCATTGTGAATTCCCAAGAACTTTAGGTTCCAAATAATTGTGCACCTTAATTCGATCGATGCAAACAGAGGTCGAATATTGGCAACTTTATCGGTGATCTATTATCGTCCCAATCGGGGAATGTTATCGAATCGCGCTGATATTCATGACAAATCAAACGATGTGGATTTGGTTCACGAGTCAACGTTTCGCCTGACATGTTGGACAGAGCCGTGAATAAATTAATATCGACGTTCCACATAATCGATTCTTCGTGAATGCATTTCTCTAGTACGCAATCTGCATGTATGACTGCAAAGTAATGAAAGTCTTCGTAAAATGTATCGTGACGTTAAATGGAAGTAACGAAAGTTCCCAGTTGCACGATCTTTCGAGTGGAAAATCATGGAAGCTTCCCTTCTTTCTTTCGCTCGAAACGAATTCGATCGCTGCAAACGTCGAACGCTTTCACTTCTCGTTTATTGTACAGGAACAAAAGGACCTGGGAAAATATTAGCATAGAGTCATAGTTACCTAAGATGGTGACCGATAACGGTTCCAATGAACTTCCTAAGATCGATCGACAGCAAGATTCCTCTGATAAATACAACATTCAACAACTGTAACAATTTTTCCTTAACCCTAGATCAATAAATTATCGTCCAAATTATGTCCTCGAATTTGCGATTCTCAAAAATCGGAGCACGTTGTCGTCAATGTTGTCAGAATGTGCCCAGGTGGTGCTGAATAATTACTGTCTGAATTTTTCATTATTTTCAAGTCCGACCATCATAAATACTTATCACGTAGCTTTCTATGCCAATAGAAATGGTACTTCTCTGAAATATCACGTGTTATCTTTCAGTCGTAATTTTTACGATTGATTACTAGTAAAATTGTATTCCTATATCTTTCATCTACGGGGCGTGAAGATTGTTTCTAACGACCCGTTGAGACGTTCTTCACCGTGTGAAAATCGAGGACGTTGACTCTTGGAAAGCCAAGGAATCGCTGCTCGAAATCGCCGTTCCGCGAGGCCGAGTAACCTCGAGCGTCGTCTGGTTTTACGTGTTGTAAATGCCTGTAATTTCGTAGAATCGAAGACGAAGAAACGCTCGCGTGATCCACAACGGTTTTATAGGCCGCAACGAAGAGACCCATCGATCGAGAAAACTTTCTTTTTAGAAATCACACCGGTAGAACGACAGATTTTTTGGTTGAGCCTTCTCCCTAGTAGCTTTTGACGCGCCATTACGCGGGATCCCTGGAGGAAAATGGCCGTCGACATGGACGGGATTCGCGAGAAGGAAACTGAAAGATAATAATAATGATAATAATAATAATAATAATTTAATGTAACGGGCGTGAATTCGTCTAATATACATTCAAATAACAGATAGAACATATTATAATAAAATTTCACTTAACTATAATTAAAATTACGTATTTGGATGGATCAATCCGGAAACTGGTCTTCTACATCGTTTCGCGAATGTTCGCCGCAACGGTGATTATTGCGAATCGTTTCCGGCGTTTAAAATCGATCGACCAGGTCGAGGGGACCATTAACGAGTTATGTATACGTCGATTTTTGAGGTATGACCTTTTGCGTGGATTTTCGCGTATACCGGTTCGAGGTGGTTTCGACTTGCTATGCATATTTGCTTGGCTGCGTGTTTCATCGTATAGCTGAAAGTGGAATCATTCCGACGATCATATTCCTTCGGATGTATCGAATAATTAATAACAGTATTCGAATGATAACCAGACTGTGGATGTTTATGTATGTGTAACATTTCTTAACATTGTAAATATAATAAAATAAAAGTTTTAATAAAGTTTACTACTATTTATGTGTTATTATGAATGAGTAAAACTTGCAGTATAACATTAAAAATTTGGCTTCATTTTCATTTTTAGATACAAAACAATATGTTTACTCACGATAAAGAATGAATTAGTAGTCACAGTAACACAGTTTTTCTAATGTTTGGGTACCGTTTAAAGTAGTTTCGTAATGCTAATCGGCAAGAAATGTTCCACATATTGTCACTAAAGTTATAAAGTAGGCATTTACTGTACGGGTTAATCAATTATGTGTTATTATTAACGTAGTAAAGCCTTTAGTACACAATTGAAAACTCTGCTGCATTTGAATTTTTAGACATTCTTGTCAGAAATTGTGAAATTATCAGTTAATGTTTTATTTGTATATTTATTTCGTGTACATACGTATGTATTTATATACCAGGGGTAAAATTTTTTTTGGGCGAAAAGGGGCCGTGAGTAGAAAAATATTTAAGATTCCCTGATCTGGACAATAAATTCGCCTATCTCTGCTTCCACGAAACCATTAATAAACAATAAATATTATCCTGCCCGGTGGTACACACGGTCCCCGAGCACGTTATTTCGTCCATGGACGTAGGCTGATATTTGCACGAAGGAGTTTTCGTTCTGCAAACACGGGGCACAAAATCCACTGTCGTCGTCGACCGTCCAATTACACCTGGTGGGCCTCTCTCTTTTTCCATCTTCCTCCACGGTTTCCTCGAGCTTAGATATTACGCGTGCACAGGTCTATTATTCGCGTCCGCCCCAAACCCCTTCCCCTCC